CGTGTGTGTGTGTGTGTGTGTGTGTGTGTGTGTGTGTGTGTGTGTGTGTGTGTGTGTATACTGAGATAGGGTATTCACTATGTAGAGTAGGCTAGACTAGAGCTCAGTAGCCCTCTGCCTCCCCTGGGTTCTGGGACTCCAAGTTTGTACCTTTACTGACTATCAGTTTTAGAGAAGAGCTTCCTGAACTAGTGAGATGCTCGGTGAGTAAAGTGTCTGCCACGTGTGCTGTTTGGTTTTGCCAGTGTGGCCCAAACCTAGACATATCTGGGGAGAGGGTTCCCTCTTAAGGAATTACCTCCATCAGACAGGCCTGTGGGGCATCATCTTGACTAATGATTGATGTAGGAGGACTGAGCCCACTGTGGGCGGTGCCAACACTGGGCAGGTGGTCGGGATTGCACAAGAGAGCCGCCATGGAGCAGGCTGGTAAGCAGCGCTCTCCCGTGGCCTCTGCTTGAGCCGCCACCTTACCTGAGGCTGAGTCATGGGAGGCAAATAAACCCTCTCCTTCCCTAAGCTGTTTTAGGTCAGTGTTTCATCACAAAAGAGAGCAAATGGATGTAGAACTTGGTACCAGACAGTGAGGTACTGCAGTGACAGACCTGACCATGTTGTTTTGGGGAGGACTGTGGAAGGAGTTTGGAGGTTTGGGCTGGGAAAGCCGTTAGCCTTCATAGTGTAGTATGGGCTGTTGTGTGCAGACTTGGAAGAAACATTGAGAACAAACGAGTCAGCGACCCTTCCTCCACAGTCTGTGCTTCTGCTCCTGGCTCCAGATTCCGGCTCGATTCCTGTGAGGCTAGACCTATCACGTTTGAATTTTATAACATATTTAGCATCACCACCATCTTTCCTCCCAGTGTTTAGCTTCCTAAGCCACAAGTATAGCAACTGTATCGGCAAAGAGTCATCAAGAAGCACAATACTCACGTAGGCCTTCACTTTAAAGACAGAAGAGGTGATTTGTATTTCCTTGGTTCGAGGATGTTTCCGAACACTAAGATGAGGGAAGAAAGGCACATTTAAAATATAACAAACCTGGAGGCTGGAGAGATGGCTCCGAGGTTATGAGCACCCACCCACTGCCCAGGCAGGGGACCTGGGTTTAGTTTCCAGGATGCACATGGCAGCTCACAAACATCCTTACCACCAGTTCCAGGGGATCTGACACCCTCTTCTGGCTCCTTGGGCACCAGACATACATGTGGTATACAGACATACATGAGTACAAAATGTCCATATAATAGTTTAGAAAAGAGAATTATTGCTGCTTTGGCAGAAGATCTGAGTTTGGTTCCCAGAACCCATATTAGGTGGCTTGTAACCTCCTTGTGACTCCAGCTGCAGGGATCCAACACCCTTTTCTGGCCTCCTTGGACTTGTGCCTGTGCCCACATACAAATAAATCATAACAAAATAAGACATCAGTTAGCTCCTCTTTTTATGAACACTTGTTACTCTTCAGGTCTTTTTAAAATTTTAACACAGAGAAAATGTAGAAGAGGGCCACAGGGAGAATACAATCAAAATAGACTATACACATTTATATTAAACTATGATGAAACCCATTATTATGTATAGTTAATAGACACCAATAGAAGTTTTGTAAATGTAGAGGAAGCTTCAGGTTCGACTATGAGGTGGGATTATCTACAGTGTTTAAGATCTAGAGCTATTTATTTCAAATGTCCCAGTGAGCCCTTCCCACTGCACACAGCAGTGAGACATTCCACAAGCTCCTGTGGAATGGCAGAGTGTTAGCATGTGCATACATGGCTGGCGTGCAGTGTCCTGGGTTTACAGGAGCTGCAAATGCACAGAACACACTGCAGTCTGATGTTGGCTGGGCATGCATGCTTTTCCTGAAAATGTTTTCTTTTTGTTTGCTTTCTTTGCCACAGCATCAGTGGTCAGTTTTGTAGAGTCTATTCTCTCCTTCTCCAGGAACTGAGCTCAGGTGATGGGCTAGTAGAGCAAGAATCTTTACCTGCTGAGTCATTTTGCTACTTCCATGTTTCTATGACCTTCCTTCCTTCCTTTTTTTTTTTTTTTTTTTTTTTTTTTTTTTTTTTTTTTTTTTTTGATAGTCTCACTATGGAGTCTAGGCTGTTCTGGAATCATTATGTAGACCAGGCTAGCCTAGAACCTGCAGTGATCCTCATGCTTCTCCCTCCTCAGGGCTGGAATTATAGGCATGGCTCCCAATTCCTAACCTTGAAATTATGTTTTTTTTTAATATTTCTTTACTTATATTTTATGTGTCTGAATGTTTGCCTGTATGCATGTATGTACAGCACATGTGTGTACAGCACATGTATGTAGTGCCCATAGAAGCCAGAAAAAGGCATCAGATTCCCTGGAAGTGAAGTCACAGGTGGTAGTCATGTGGGTTCTGGGAACTGAACTGGGCTCTCTTAAGGAACAAGAGGCTCTCTTAAGTGCCGGGACTCTCTCCAGCTTCAAAAAGTTAGGAAGGGTATGAAGAAGGGCAGATTAGAGGGAGGGTGAGAGGGAGAGAGAAAGGAAGGAGGGTGGGAAGGAGGGAGGGCTAGAGGGATGGAGAAAGGGTGAGCCTAGAATTCTTAAAATTAATGACATGTCTTAGGGATTAACTTGGAAGGGTAAAGATTACATCTAAATGAAAATTCTTCTACTTCTTTAGAATAAAGGTTTTACACACACACACACACACACACAAATACGCCCCCCCCATACAATTACCTGAGCAAACTCATACATCCTTTGGGGTCTCTTGTATTCCTTTGGTATTTAAAAGAAGGAGAGTGGAGGGAGAGGAATGGAGATGGCAGTTGCTAACACAGGACTGGATGGGACAGAGTGAAGGACAGAGTGAAGGACAGCGTGAAGGGCACATCTGAATGAGGAAAGAACAATGAAAGGACTGGGAACTAACTCTGGGGAGCTGGGCGCTGCAGTAACTGGAATGGGCCATTGTCCTTCGATGCAGGACTGCCTGGGCCACAGTGAGTTCTAAGGCAGCTTGCTTTGCAGTATAAGGCTGTCTCACAAGACAAGACACACCAAACCACACAAAAACTGATAGTAACCCTACAGACCGGGCTGCTGCCTCCATGCTAGAATGTTTGCCTATTGATCAAGGACTTGAGTTCAATACCAGCACTGGGAAGAAAAAAATTATCCCATGAACAAACAACAAACAAAATTGAAAATAAAAACATAGTCACAAAATCCTTCTGGCCTGGAGAAAGAGAGGAGGCTACAAAAGGGCCTGAGGAGTCGCCAATGTGAACATGAGTGGCTCTGTGATTATACCAGGGTTAAACAAAAAAGGGTTCTCTCTACTGGCTAGAGATGTACACACTGAGACCATTACCTCACCAGATCCTTGTAGATCAGCTTTGCTGTCTCCAGATATGGCTTCAGCATGTCTTCATACTGACAAAGGGACCCTCCAAGGCAGAGATGCTTAAAAAGACAGAACAGGAACTCTTCTCTTTCCTGAGGGCTGAAGACTTCATACTTTTCGGAGTCTTCCATGAGCAAAACCTAAGATGAGAAAAATCATGATAGACAATGGAATGTATAATACAGGGCTGATTTGAAGCTTTTGGAAGTTTTAAAGTATATTTAAAATTAGTGCTTTTTGTGGTGCTGGGGATCACACACAGAGTTATGTTCACCATTAAATTACACCCCCTGACCAATCTTAGGCTGTTTTGAGAACCAGTCACGACAGGTGCAGTGGTGTGCTCTGTACCCCAAATTGGGAGATAGAAACATGAGGATTCGAAGGTCAAGGCCATTCTAATTCACACAGCGAGTTCAAGGTCAGCCTGGGATACAGGAGGCTGTCTCAAACAAACACACAAACAAACAAACAATATTGGGGTTGGAGAGAGGATTAGTTCCCATCTCCCACAAAGGACCCAGGCTCAGTTTCTACCACCCACGTGGTGGTTCAAAACCATCTGTAACTCCAATATCAGGGGATTCAGACCTTGTCTGGCCTTCATGAGCACTAGGTATATGTGTGGCACATATACACATGGATACAGATAAAACAAACATACACATAAAATATACTCTTTTAAAAAACAAATTACTAATATCTTTTTTTAAAAATTCTTGGGCAGGGTCTCATGTATCCCAAGTTGACCTTGAACTACATAGATGAGGATGACCTTCAATCCCTGATCCTCCTGTTTCTACCTCCCAAGAGCTAGGTTAATAGGCATGTGCCACCATGCCATATTTGTGATGTGCTGAGGATCACCACAAGGCTTTGTGTACTCTGTCAGATTAAGCACTCTGTCAACTGCACTATGCCCCAAGCCCCATTTTTAGTTTAGTTTTGTTGGTTTTGCTTTTGAGATAGGATAGCCTGTAATTACTTAAGCCAGGCTGGCCTTGAATCCCTGATCCCCTGCCTCTACCTCCTCAGCGCTAGGATTACAGGCAGGGGCCACTATTACCAGCTTCCTGTGTATATTCTTAATATTAATTTGATATAAAGACTTCTACTGAAGACAGTAGCTAGTCATTAAATAGGCCAGAGCTTCTCTACCTGTGAATGGTTGACACACCGGGCCAGGGAACTGTTGCAAGTTGCTGTGCTGTGACTGTGTAGTGCCAGCCCAGTCTTCAGTGTCCTGCCATCAGTGTCTGACTGGCACACACAAGCCCATAGTAAGTCCTCCACACTGGTCATGTCGACTGCCTAGAGGTAACTTAAGTTTTAACCAGGCTTACTTAAGTTTTTGGCATTTTTCATTTCCTTCAATAAACCTTCACTGTGAAATCATAAGATGCTGTACTTACTTTTCTTAGTTCATCTGAAATGAGAAACGGATCACAGAAAGAATCGAAGCACTTGACAATGTGTCCACTTTCTCGTACAATATTTTCATCGTATAACCGTTGGAAAAATGACATGGAAAGTTGTGTGCATGGAACATTTACAGCTTCAATTTTTTTCACTTCAGTTCCTAAAAAAAATATTTTGTAAAGAATAACGATGCAAAGTGAAATTTAACGATTTTAGTTATTTCTAAACTTTTGAAAAAGGATACATTTTCATTTTTATTTATGTGTATGTAGTGTCTGCCACATGTGTGTGGGTACCCACAGAAGCCAGAAGGCAGCATCAGACTCCCTGGGACATGGATTCAAATTCCACTCCTCTGTTTTTATTTTTTGAGTCAAGGTCTTGATATATAGTTCTGGATGCCCTGGAACTTACTGTGTAGATTGGGCTGGCTTCAAACCCAAAGACAGTTGCCTTTCCTCAAATGCTGGGATAAATGTTGTGTGCCACCACACCTGGCTCCAGACATGATTTTTAGTTATTTCTAAAATCAACCATTATGCATGAATTCTAAGAAGTAACTAAACACGACATATGTCTTAATGGATAAAAGTGCTACACAGAGTCATGAGTTAGGTCCCCGAACTACCATGAAAAAACAAAATCCACCCCCAAAGTAGCTTTTGTGGTGCATCCCCCTCTCCCCCACCCCTGACACAGACACACTACTAACACATTAAACTGAAATAAAGGTTAGGGGCTGGAGAGGTGAGTCAGTGGTTAAGAGTGCTTGCTGCTCTTCTAGAATACCAGAGTTTGGATCCCAGCACCTTGCTCAAGTGGCTTACAACTACCTGTAACTCTAGCTCCAAGGAGACTCAGTAGGTGCCCCACCCCAATACACAGACATAAAATAAAAATAATTTTTATTTATTTAGGTTTTTGGTCTTAATAAAATAAATCTTATAAAAAGTTTAGAGCCAGGTTGGCCAGTAGCTATAATGTCAGCATCCAGGAGAGCAGGGCAGGAGGATCCACAAGTTTGAGAATGGGCTGGGCTGCATAGTAGGTTCTAAGCCAGTATGGGCTATAGGATGAGACTCGAGTTTAAAAACAAAAACAAATGTCTAAGAAAATCTTGCTAGGTGAACATAAACTAGAGAAGTGGTTCTCAACTTTCCTAATGCTGTGACCCTTTTATATAGTTCTTCTCATTGTGGTGGCCCCAACCATAAAATTACTTTCACTCAGGAGGCAGAGGCATGCGGATCTCTGTGAGGTCTACGAGAGTGAGTTCCAGGACAGCCTCCCAAGTCACAGAGAAACCCTGTCTTGAAAAACAACAACAACAACAACAACAACAACAAAATTACTTTCATTGTTACTTCATATCTGTAGTTTTACTACTGTTAAGAATTGTAAATATCTGATATAAAGGATATCTGATATGCAACCCCTGTGAAATGATTGTTCCACCCCAAGGGTCTCGACCCACAGGTTGAGAATCACTGCGCCAGAGATGCCTTAAAGCAAAATACTCTGTGTGTTTAGTAAGGGGTTTATAGGTGTGTGTGTGTGTGTGTGTGTGTGTGTGTGTGTGTGTGTGCGCGCGCGCGCGTGTACAGTGACATAGCCCATGCTAACCCTGAAACCACTATGCAGCAGAGATGAGCTTGACCTCTGACTCTCCTGGTTCCACCTCTTCAGTGGTAGGATTACAGGTATGCACAGCCATGCCCAGCTCTCACTGGTGTTGGGGACAGAACCCAGGCATGCACTCTACTGAAATGCCTACATCAAAACTGCCTAGAAAACTGCTCCTTGGCCTTTTGGCAAAAATCAAGTGTAGAATTACCAACGAAAGCATGAGATTCCTTCACATAATTTTGGATTTCCATAATGCTAAATGCTCTATAATTCATATTATGCAAGTTTAGTGCTGTAAGGCCACATACCTATAAGGCCAGTACTTGAGAGGCTGAGGTAGACTAGCATTCTCAGCCAGCTACAGGGTAGTCCCCAGGCCAGCCTGGGCTCTGTGGTTAAGAGCACAGACTGCTCATGCAGAGGACCTGAGGTCTGTTCCTAGCACCTACAATGGATGGCTCACAAGACCTGGCAATTCCAGCACCCAGGAGATCTGACAGCTCTGACCTCCATAGGCACCTACACACACACACACACACACACACATACACACACACACACACACACACACACACACACACGTGCATGCACACAAGCACCAAACCAAAACCAAAACACCAATGGTTAGCACCATGGGTTAGTGAACAAAGGTATTTACTACCAATTCTGATGACCCAAGTTCAATCCACTGGACCCACATGGAGGAAGGACAGAACCAACTCCTGCAAATTATCTTCACACCGAATAAACGCTACCAAGAAGCTGAGCATTGTTGTGGCTCTCTATAATCCCATCACTTGAACAAAGGCAGAAGGACAGACATACATAGCAATTTCCAACTAGGGCTGCATATCAGGGCCTTGTTTCAGAAAAAGACACCAAAAGCAAAACAATAATTTAATTATGATCATTTGTAAAGTCTTTGAGGATGCCTTGACTCTTCATTACAAAGTCTCCTACGAGATCTCACTGACAGCATATACAACACAAAAAGTTTTCCCAGCCCAGATAAACCTTAAGGCAGTGCTGGTCCAGTCATCATGGTCCAGAAGAGAAATGTGGGATAACTGAACTGAGGCTCAGTTGCTTCTTGGTTTTCCAGATAGGGTTTCTCTGTTTAACAGCTCTGGCTGTCCTGGAACTCATTCTGTAGTCCAGGCTGACCCAGCTATTATCATCATTATTATTTTTGTTTTTGAGACAGGGTTTCTCTGTGTAGCTTTTGGAACCTGTCCTCATGCTCACTCTGTAGACCAGGTTGGCCTCGAACTCACAGAAATCTGCCTGCCTCTGCTTCCAGAGTGCTGGAGCTAAAGGCATGCACCAATACTGCCCGGTGAGTACAACATAAATTATACAGCCATAAAGATTAAGACAAATGTTTTTATTATCACTTCAATTAGCTTCCCCTTTCTTTTACCTACATACACAGTCTGGTATAAGGAGACGATGCCTTTTTGTCTTCTGGCTACCTTGTTGGTTTTAAGGGGTGCAGATATTGCTACCTGAACCCAGGGTCCTGCACATGCTACAGCTGAGTTCTGCCTACAGGCCCCACTGCTGTATTGCTAGCCTGAGAAATGCCAGGGCTTAAAAGTAATCTTGGCAATTGTTTGCACTTCCTGTTTTGACTGTCCACTCGGTCATGCTGGAACCTGTCACTGCACACCGTGATCCTGGACATGGGGACCAGAAGGATGCCCGAAGCCAGGAATGGTGTGTTTCAATGACTGTGCTCCTGAGAGAAGCTCAATCCTTTTAGGGAGCAGATAAGCTAAAAAGCCTACAGACTATGATGGGACAGCTCTGGACACTCCTGAAGACCAAAGCGTAGTGCAGAGAGCTGGCAGTTCCATAAAATTGTCTGGTGAGCACCACATGGGAGAAGAGGGGTGTGTGTGTGTGTGTGTGTGTGTGTGTGTGTGTGTGTGTGTGTGTGTGTGTGTCTGTGTGTGTGTGTGTGTGTCTGTGTGTGTGTGTGTGTTGAGACAGTCTTTGTAAACCAGGATGGTCCTGAACTGGAAATGCCCTGCATCTACCCCACCCAGTGAAGGAACTACTGGTGTGCACTCCTACCTGGCTAGCGTGCCATTTATTAAGCTTGACTTACTAAATTAAATTCAAACCACTCTAAGTTGTGAAAACAGCATCTGTTATCGACTGATATATATTATTTCCAAGTACACAGGCTTAACCCAGTGTAACTGAATTCTGAGCTGGGGCAGCTACAAAATAACTAAGAGCAGATGAGGTCATCAGAGGCCACTGGACTTCCAGCAACACCACTCAGCCAACAGGATTTTGTCCCTAGTTCCTACATTCAGTTTCATCACCGGCAAAATACTATTCATTCCACTTCAAAAGATTCCAAATTTGAACTCATTCAGGTTCAAAGTTTCATGTACACTTAATACAAAGTAAGACTGAGGTACAGTTCATTCTGGGGTAGAATTCCTCTCTATGTAAACCTGGTACATCAAATATATGCTTCTAAAATACACTGGAGGGCCAGGCAGTGGTGGTATATCCTTTAATTCTAGCACTCAGCAGGAAGAGGCAGGAGGATCTCTGAGTTCAAGGCCAGCCTGGTCTACAAATTGAGAAACCAAAAATAAAGTACACCGATGTGATGAACATGGGACAGCCCATTCCCACTCCCAAACCAGAGAAACAATTATTAGAGACTGTGTGGTAGTTTCCCAGCAAGGCTAACTGAGAAGATGCAGACTCCTTGTACTCTTAGACTCAAGGATAACGCTTTTTGCTTTATTATATTCTGCCTTCTGGACCCACTGGGACAGTGTCTGAAAACTCCCTGCTGGGGGAGAGCCCTTCAGGCACCAGGTGAACCAACTGCTAAGGTTTCTGGGTTTTTCCCAGCCCCAAGCTCTGTCTGTACTGGCGGCCCTGTCTCTGAGAATAAGCTTAGAGGCTGTCTGGTCTGGAAAAATGATCTCTGAGTGGCCTCTTTTTAAAAAGATTTGCTGTGAGGTATTTGTATACTGTGTGAAGGTGTATTGCTGCGATTGGTGTGCTAAAAAGCTGAATGGCCAATGGCTAGGCAGGAGGCATAGATGGAATTTCTCGGCAGAGAGAGGAAGTAGGGGGAGGAATTGGTGTGGGAGAGAGATGAGAAATGGCGAGGAGACATGGAGGAAGCAGGATGGGTGGCATATGACAGAACGTCAATAAATAAAAATGGGTTAAGTTATAAGAGCTAGTTAAAATCGAGCCTAAGCTAAGGTCAAGCTTTCATAATAAATAAGACCCCATGTCATTATTTGGGAGCTGGCTGGTGGGACAGCCAAAGACTCTTTACAAAGATGATGTTTTAAAATGTGTGCGTGTGTGCATGTGAGTGTAGGTGCCCTCAGAGGCTAGATGTGTCAGAACTCCTGATATGAATGGCCTAACATGGGTGCTGGAAACTGAACTCCGGACTTCTGAAAGAGCAGTACAAGCTCTTGGCTGCTTAGCCATCTCCCCAGCCCTAATTCACCTTTTGGGTCTTTCCTTAACAAACAGCTCATGTTGGCAGCTGAGAAGCTCTATGGCCCAGCCCCTAGAAGCTAAGAAGTCCAGGAGCCCTTTAGTATCAGCCAGCAGCATCTCCACTGATACCATCCCATTCTACTTTTGGTTTCTGCTGAAATGACTGATTAAATCCATGAGTCATGCCCTGATCTCTTTATCAGATGGTTTTCCTACCATATCCTTGGTGTTCTCTTCAGAACAGGGTTTCTTGTTTCTCAATCTAGCAAGGCCATAAACCTTCAGTTCAGTCCTCTTGCAGTCCCTTCTTGTTTAACTATGTCTTCTTCTCAGGCTGCAGACAGCTCAGGTGCTCTACCACCTCCTAGCATTCAAGAAGCCTGGGTTCAATACCCAGCACTGCATAGAGTGGGTGTGGTGGTGCAGGCCTATTACCCCAGCACTCCAGAGACTGAGGCAGGAGGACTGCTTTGAGTTCAAAGTCTGATTACATACAGAGTCTCAACAACCTGGGCTGTTGAGAAACACAAAAGCTGCTTTTTTGTTGTTATTGTTGTTTATAAATACTCCAAATGAAAACTGAACCGAAGACTTCAGTATACCAGAAAAATAATAACAAAAAACCTGCAGAAAATGAGAGGAGAGCAAGGCAAGCTGGTGGAAGAGCATTGGCAACATACACAAAATTCCTCTCAAAAAATATGAGTGCTGGGCTGGAGAGAAGGCTGGTGGCTAAGAACACCTGCTGCTCTTCCAGATCTCAGCATCTGGTCGGTCAGGCATCTCAGTGCCTGTAACTCTAGCTCCAGGGATCCAACACCCTTTTCTTTTCTCTGTGGGCATCTGTATATAGAAGTGCACATCCAAACATGTACACATAAATAAAAAATAAATCTTAAAAAACAAACCCAAGTGGAGTGTTTCTAATTGCAGAGTACTTCTACTGTGACCCATCAAGCACACATGGCATTTCAGAAGCTCTGTGTGGCGCTTTACTCCAAACGGAGAGTAAGGTCTGCAAGATGGCTCAGAGGGGAAAAGGACTCAATGGGGTCAGGACCTGAGTTCAATCCCTGGGACCTACATGGTGTGGAAGGAGAACCAACTCCTGCAAACTGTCTTCTGACCTACACACACACACACACACACACACACACACAAATGTAATTTTAAAATTCAACAGCAAAGGCTCAGGACACCTTGGTAGAGGACGTGGACTGATGCCAGGGCTGGAGGATGGGCAGAGCACTGTGAATTGCTGCCCTCTGGACAGAACAGGACTGCTGCACTCAACTCCCAACAGCTGTGGTCACCTGCACAGCACCATGCTGGCTACAGTTTCCACAGGGATGGGGGTGGGGGGAGAGCTAACAAGGACCTGACCTTAATGAGGAGTTACTGGCAGCCAGGGAGAATCCTCCTTTTGGGGGAGTGGCCTCTGGTACGCCATGGATGCTCCAGGGGATGCCCCCAGACTCATGCACTACTGGACAGCACAACTGGGTCTGCAGTGTTAGCTTAAAAAAAAAAAAGCCAGGTGGTGGTGGCACACAATCATAATGGCAGGTGGATCTCTGTGAGTTCAAGGCCAACCTGTTCTACAGAGAGACTTCCAGGTCAGCCAGGGCATAGAGAAATGCTGTTTTGAAAACAAACAAAAAACCCAAAATACATTAAAAAAGAAATTAAATCATTGTGGTGGTTTAAAAGAAAATGGCCCCTACAGGGAGTTACACTAGTAGGAGGTGTGGCCTTGTTGGAGTAGGTACAACCCTCCTTGGAGGAAGTGTGTCATTGTGGTAGAGGGCTTTGAGGTCTCATTTATGCTCAAGAAACACTCAGTGAAACAGACCACTTCCTGTTTCTTGTGCAAGATATAGAACTCTCAGCTACCTCTCCAGCACGTCTGCCTGCATGCCCACATATTCCCAGCCACCAAGCTTCCTGCCATGATGATAATGGACTAAACCTCTGAACTGTAAGCTGCCACCTCCATTAAATGTTTTTCCTTATGAGAGATGCCATGGCCAAGGTGTCTCTTCATAGCAATAGAAACCTTAACTAAGACAATCATAAAAAATAAAAACAACAACAACAATAACAACAACAACAACAACAACAAAAAAAAAAACCCAAAAAATTTCGAACAAAACTTAGGACCAAGTCAGCACCTACTCTGCAATGTCTATGCCGAGATGCGGGAGACTGCATGCACTCCTGTGAACCTCCCTTTCTTTTTAAAAGACTGGCCAAAGTTGTTATGAACATTTTAGAGATCCTGGTTATTCTCTCTTGAAAAATCCAAGTTGGCAAGTGTACGAGCTTAGAAACTGAGTCTAATTTTGTACATCGTCTACAGATCAGGCTCTACCAGCTCTCCGCTCCGAGAAGTTGGCAGCAGTCTTTGGCCAAAAGCAATAAAATCTGACCTGCTGAGTCTAACAGGAACCGTTTTGTAATTTTGTTCTTGCCTAATACTCTCAAAAAGTTACTTTGTCTTACGCTTCTTAGAATACCATGAAGACAGACTTTGTTTAACTAAGACCCCCTCTCTTAAACAAAACATCTAATTTCTAAGTAATTTGCATTGTCTTGTGCACATATTGGTATTACAGGTCTTTTTCTAAGAGGAATGGTGTTACCTGTTCCATGGTTGAGACCTCAAACTTGAATTTAAAATATATTTAAAATTTATGTTGGTTTTCAAAACAGTCTTTGGGGGAGATGATGGCTCAGGTGGCAAAAGTGCTGGACATGCAAGCTTGATGGCTCAGTTTGGAAGAACCAATTCCTGAAAGTTGTCTTCTGGCCTCCATATGGCATGCTTGCACCAGTGCGTGCACATACACTCTCTCTTTCTCACTCTTCCTCCCCCATCTCTCTCACACACACCAAATAAATAGAATTTCCCAGGTATATTTTAGTGTATTGTTAAACTGTCATCCAAAGAAAGGTCCCCCTTTAAGAAGTCATTTCTCTATGATTTGTTATTATTATATATATAAAAAAAATCCCAAGGCAGCCAATTCCCATCAAAACCTCATGCTCATGCAAGCTGCAGCTGTACTTTGCCCAGGCACCCCTCCTCCCATCAATGGACCCTATCCTGAACCCTCCCCTGTGTGTAGAACTGACAATCTCTCCCTCTACACACCCTCACTTCTATAGGAAAACCTGTAACACACTATTACAGTCTTTCTTTCACTTACTCTTTCAAGATTTTTAATTATACACCTGTGTAAATGTCTATTTGGGGGTGTGTGCATGTGTGCCCAGGTACCATGGAGACTACAGGTCCTGGACCCCCTGGAGCTGGAGTCATAGGCTGTGATCCTGTATGTGGATACTGGGAAGTGAACTCAGGTCCTCCAGAAGGGCACTATGTCTCTTAACTGTTGAACTGAACCATCTCTCTAGCCCCTCTTTTCTTCCCTTTCCTTTCATCCCATCCTTCTTCCTTTTTTTATTCCTAATGGTTTTATTATTATTTTAAGTCAGGATCTCATATTGCCTGGGGTGGCCTCCATTTGCCAAGCCATGTACTAGAGATGGTCTCAAACTTCTGATCTTCCCATCTCTACCTCCCCAGTACTGGGATTATAGGTTGTGCTTCTATACCTGGCTTTATGTGATTGTCTTAGTCAGGGTTTCTATTGCTGTGAAGACACCATGACCATGGCAAGTCTTATAAAGGGAAACATCTAACTGTGGCGACGGTTTACAGATTCAGGGGTTTAGCCCATTATCACCACGGCAGGAAGCATGGCAGCTGGGAGTATGGCAGTGTGCGGGCAGACAATAGGAAGTGAACTATCTCACTGGGCATGGCTTGAGCATACATGAGACCTCAAAGCCTGCCTCCACAGAGACACACTTCCTCCAATAAGACCATGCCAACTTCAACAAGGCCACACCTCCTAGTAGTGCCACTCCCTTTGAGGGCCATTTTCTTTCAAAACACCACAGTGATGCTGGGGACTGAACTACCCAGACCTTTTCGTATCACTCAACAGACTGAGCTCTATCTCCAGCAAGCCTCTCTTAATGTACCAATGAATTCCACCAGTGCCCCTTTCTTCTTAAGTATCTCAATGTGACTTGAATTTAGCAGCTTAAATGGAAGGATGTATATTTTCAAACTACTAAGAGAAAATTACTCTGATGTGCCATGCCAGGATGAGAGCAAGAGATTTCCAGAACAGAGATGCAGAGCAGGCCTGACACAGTTGGTCTCACATTATCATGAAGGTCTTAATTTCTATTTTAGTGACACAAATCACTAGTGATAATTGCTGAGGCAAAATTTTATTAAAATAGTTAACTTGGAAATATAAAAGTTAGTTTTCTTTACCTAATGTGATCCACTGTCCAGAAGAATCTGAGAGTAACTGCAAATTTGGAATAACATTTGGGTCGGTGAAAAAAGCCTAAAACACAAATTGCAAGGGAACATGTTAGAAAGCTTATTATAAATAAAATTAACTTCTGAAACAAAATTAATAAAACATCATCTAATCCAAAGTAAGAGAAGCTTGGCTTTAGTTACTTTTTTTGTTTTTTGTTTTTTTCCTCTAAGGTACTGGGCATCAAACCCAGGACTTTGTCTACACTGAGCAATTGCTCTACTCCTGAGTTATTTCCCCAGCCCTTGATTTTTTTGACAGGATCTCATTATATAGCTCAGGCTGGCTTTGAATTTGCTATATAGACCAAGTTTTCCTATAAATCTCAGTTCTTGGGTCTCAACAATGTGTGCTAGGATCATAAGTATGAGCCCCTATGTTCGGCTTGAAGGACTTTGTGCTTTGTCTTTTTGAGACAGGATCTCATATATCCAGGCTAGCCTTGTACTCACTTGTAACTCACTATATAACCAAGGTTAACTTTAAACTTCTGAGGTCCCCCTTCTATCTTTGAAGTGTTAGGTAAGATGTGTAAACCAAACTGGCTAGAAGAACTCTCTCTCTCTCTCTCTCTCTCTCTCTCTCTCTCTCTCTCTTTCGGTTTTTTTTTTTTGAGACAGGGTTTCTCTGTGTAGCTTTGGAGTCTGTCCTGGCACTTGCTCTCGCTCTGCAGACCAGGTTGGCCTTGAACTCACAGAGATCCACCTGCCTCTACCTCTGCCTCCCAGGTTCTGGGATTAAAGGCATGAGCCACCACTGTCTGGCTGGCTGGAAGAACTTTAAAATCAAGAAAAAGGTTAATGAATTTTTAAACAAAATGAAATCAAGGGACAGTGAGATGGTCCAGAGGATAAAATGGTACAAGACTTATGATCCAAGTTCAATCCCAGGTTCCATGTGGAAGAAAGGAAGTGACTCCCAAAGTTGTCTTTCAACTTCCACATGTGCACTGTGGCATAAGCTCATCCATGCACATGAACACACACACACACACACACACACACACACACACACACACACCAAAACAAAACCTGCTAGGGTCGGTGGGATGCTGCCAAGGCCTATGTTCTGCCCTGAGATGTACACAGGAGCATGTGCAGGGCTCCAGCAAACGCTGCAAAATAAAAACCTTGTCACTGTGTACATGGAAAACTCTTTATCTGGCACACACCACTAGGGTGAGGCTCTGAGCACTGTATGTTGATCTGACTGTGCTCTCTTAAGACCCTAAAGTGAGACTTTCCAGCCAACAATCTAGAGGACAGCCACCTGGATGCACCTTGTGACTAATGCTGTGTGCCGAATGCTACACTCATTCTCATCATTTACTCTCCGTCTTCTATGTGTTTAACAGTACAATCAGCTACTCCAGTCAACTACATCAAAAACCTGGGGTTTGACCAACACGTTCCTCTCTCCCTATCTCACCATCTTATTAGTCCTTATGCCTCCCTCATAAGTACTTCCTCTGAGTCATTTTTAGGGTTAGTCTAAAACGAGGACCTCCTTAAAAACTGTCCAAAAGGCAGCCATGCTCATCACCAGACACCAGTGCAGAAACTGAGCACCTTCTGAAGGTGTTATCCAATTTAGTTTCAGTAATTCCAGACTATGCAGAGCAATCGACCTTTCACACAACTGCTAAACTGACATCAATGTTTTAATTAACTGTTCTTGGAAAATACGGTTTCACACCCAGTGTGGTGGCTTGCACCTTTAATCCCATCACACACTGATGCAAACACACAAGGTTTAATGTTAATCTACAAGCCTTGGCAGGGACCCTGTCCAGCAAACTGGCACAGCAGCTGCAGGAAAGGGTGCCTGGCCTCAACTGTAAGGGGTTTATAAAGGAAAAAAACAAAAGCTGGGTGGTAAGTGCCTTGCCTGTTCAGGATTGGGTAAGAGCAAGTGACCTTTGGATTCACTGACGTGGGGGCTAGGGGAATTTCAAAATTGTTACGAACAGTTGCCACAAGGACAGTTGTGGGCAAGAAGATGTTATTTACCAAAATTAGCCATTGTCTGACCACCCAGATGGGGTCACTTTGACCCAGGTGGGCACAGTTTGGGTGCTCCTTGGAACTGTTTATGGTTCCTTGGCTGGAGCTGAATCAGCCTTGTGACACACATTTAATTTCTCAAGTTGGCTTTTTCTGAGGATGGAGTTAACTCCGTTCTCTCCAGTTTACCTTGCTCCTACACCAACACTTCCTGGATGTCCAGAATCCAGAAACTGGATGGCTCAGAGACCTACGGTAGAGCCAAGCAGTACTATATAATAAAATGATTCCTAACAATATTCTGCTATACTCATAGACTGATGCTAAGCCCAAGAGACATCAGAGAGGCTTCCTCCAGCAGCTGATGGGAGCAGATTCAGTGACCCACAGCCAAACTTTAGGTGACTTAGGGAAGCCTATGGAAGATAGGGAGGAAGGACTGTAGGCTCCAGAGGGATTGAGGACACCATAAGAAAATCCACAGAAACAACTAACCTGGGCTCATAGGGGCCCACAGAGACTGTACCAACAACTGGGGAGCCTGAATGGGACTGATTTAGGTCCTCTTCATTTTTGTTACAGTTGTGTACTTTGACCTTGTGAGATCCATTAGTGTGTGTGTGGGGTGGGTATGGGGTGTGTGTCTGACTCTTTTGCCTGCTCTTGGGACCCTTTTCTTCCTACCAGGTTGCCTCCATACAGCCTTGCTGTGAGGGTTTGTGTCCAGTCTTACTGCATCTTGTTATGCCATGTTCAATTGATATCCCTGGGAGGCCTGTGGAGCAATGGATCTTGGGAAGAGGGGAGGTTGAGGGGTGGGAGGAGGGAGGGGATACTGTGCTCAAGATGCATTATATGGGAGAAGAATAAGAAAAAATAGTTGAGGGCCTATACTGGTTAATTATTAAAATCTGACCATGAATAAATGAAGACATGCAATAATACTACAGTGGTATTATAACCCCATCACAGTTAAAGAGAAATGGACCAATGTAGCTCAAAATTCATGTCCTTCCTTCAACCTCAGAAAGAAGGTCACTGCTTATATTAATGTTATTCTGATGTAGGATGGGTTCCTAACTCAGTACAGCTGCTGTCTTTAGGAGAGATCAAGTCATGACAAGGACTATGGGAAGCTGGCCAGCCAGGGCCAGGAGTAGGGGTGGATTCCCCTCTGTAGGTATCAGCACAGCGAACTACTTTTGATCTTCAGAATTAGGAGGCAACCTCTCTTTACTATTGGCAGTGTACAAAACGACCTATGCTATTTGCTGGCATTCCTGGAACACTCTTCAAAGATCATCTTTTGATTCATTTCTATCTCTAGTTATTGAGAAGTGCCTAGCACACACTGGGCCTTCAGAAAGTGTCAGAGTCAACAAATTACATGCCAACTATAAGCTAAACTAAAGGCAATGCTCAGAAGACAGGGGCAGAGAATGAATGTCTTTTCCCAAACCTAACAATATGAGACAACACTGAAAACAGTGGCGCTCAGTTTTAAATCTTTGAATGAGCTTTGCCTTCCTTAAAAACTTCCCCTCTAGCTACAGCCTTTTTCCAAACAGGCCATTGCTCAAAACCTTTGAGAGGAAGTCCTGTTGGGCATTGTGTTAGAACTTGAGGCCCACTTCTCTGGATGAATGTGATTTTCAGAAACCAGAAGTATTTGGAGTTAAACCTCATAAAGTAAGCAACAAAGCCGGGTAACAGTATTTCAAAAAGATGTACTTGCAAACAAACAAAAAAGAATACCCCTCACAATTTTCAGTCATAATCAGTAACACGGGATGCTGAGGGGGGATGACTGTCACGCTCAAGACCATCATGAATCTCACAGTGAGACTGTCTAAAAACATGCCACAATTATAAAGTTATCTAAGATACAATCCCAAAGGTGGGTAAAAGATACTATTTGCAAGGCGGTCGTGGTAGCACTTGGGAGGCAGAGGCAAGAGGATCCAGGTGCGTGCCCGGCCAGCCTAGTCTACAGAATGAGACTTTTTCTCAAAAAAGCTCCCTAAGAAACAAAAGAAAATCCAACTTGCACTCTTTATTAGTCCATGAACACGTCATGGAGTGTTCCCAACATCAGAAGAGACCCCTATACCAACCATGACAAAATCATCCTTCTGGTAGGGCTGGAACGTCTGGTCGAAGCTGAATGCCTGCGCCTGGATTCTGCCCAGCATGGACCTGGCAGAGAGTGAGAGAGAGAGAGTCAGTGGGCAGAGGCGGGAGTTTGGG